ACCCCTCCTCTCGGGTGAGTGTTCTGAAAGAACCGGAAACCCACACTGCCAGAGGAAACGAGACAGTGCAAAACACCAGTCACCGTTTTCTAGGTCTAAACATCTTCTCTTGTCCGTGACTTCAAATGGTGTTTTTGTTTTTGGGACTCTGGTAGTTTGTGGTAGCAGCAGTCTATTTCTCCTCTGATATTATTGAGCAGAGAACCTCTCACACCACCAGTGGTGTTCTGTGTCACACTGTGTCTCAATGTCTCCTGTCTCCCCACTCTGTTCAGTCCTGTGTCTTCTCTAATTGCTCCCACCTCGTCTCCCAATCACTTAAGATGCCAGCTCCTCTTGTATTTAAACCCTCCCAGTTCTGTGTTCCTCGCCCGTTCATTGTTTCAGTGTCCCGTGTGCTCTTCATTAAAGCACTTTTTGAATGTTCCTGCCTGCCTTTTTCCCCTGCACCTTGGATCCTCACCTCAACCGCTCGCCTCGCCGGCACCGTGACATTCTGTTGTTAAATACATGAGTCTGAAATGAGTGGAGGACCCAGAGAAGTACGGCGGTGCGGCAACCGGATGTTCTAATTGTTGCTTTCGTTCTGAAACATGCTATTGTTGGAAGTTTGTAAACAAATGCAAGAGAACCACTTTATTGATTTTTTTTATTTTATTTTATAATCTCCACAAGATATTTATAGCTATACTATAGAAAGTTAAGAGGCATAAAAACATTTCCAAATTTACTATTGTAGCTTGAAAACCAAGTAGGGCCTACACACATTCAGTTCTATCTCCTGAAACCTTTTCTGCTGCGGTCACGGTCTGAGGTGTATTCCTGCGGTCACTCCCTGTCTCTTGAGTTTTCCCTCTGCAGGTGGGCGTGTCTGCAGGTTAACCAAGCTGCAGCAGATCTGCTCATCAGCCGGCCAGGTGTATTTCAACTCAATTCAATTCAGTTTAAAAATACTTTATTAATCCCAGAGGGAAACTGATTGCTGTAGCAGCTCAGAATAATAATAATAATCAAGTCATCAAAGAGGTGTTGTGTATTACAATGGCTGTTGGCAGGAAGGATCTCCAGTAGCGGTCAGTGTTGCAGCCAAACTGAAGAAGCCTCTGACTGAAGACACTCTTCCGTTGTCGGACAGTCTTGTGAAGAGAATGCTCAGGGTTGTCCATCATGTTCTTGATTCTCTGGAGAATCCTTCTTTGCATTATCTCCTCCAGCGGTTCCACAGTCGTCCCCAGAACAGAACCAGCCTTTTTTATTAGGCTGTTGAGCCTTTTCAGGTCCCTGCTTCTGATGCTACTACCCCAACAGACGATGGCTGAAGAGATTACACTCTCAACAACAGACTTGTAGAAGATCTGCAGCATCTTGCTACAGACATTGAAGGACCTAAGCGTCCTCAAGAAGTGCAGTCTGCTGTGTCCCTTCTTGTAAACGGCTTCTCTGTTCTTTCTCCAGTCCAGTCTGTTGTCCAGGTGAACTCCAAGGTATTTGTATTCCTCAACCACCTCCACTTCTTCTCCCATGATGGAAACAGTGGGAGAAGCAGCTGAGAGACTTCTACACTTCGCTGGATGATTACTCTACCTGGGTACCTTCTAAGCCACCTCTTAGTATTATATTCGAGCCTTCTTGGACCTTTTGAGATTTTAGACTAATACATGCACTAGACTTTGTCACCGGTCTTCCCCCTTCTCGAGGCTTTACAGTTATTTTAACCATTATTGATCGTTTTTCCAAGGCCTGTCACCTAGTGCCGCTAAAGGCTCTACCTTCTTCCGCTGACACCGCAACTCTGCGTATTAAGCATGTTTTTAGGCTCCATGGCATCCCTGCGGAGATACTTTCGGACCGCCGCCCTCAGTTTGTTTCTAGGGTTTGGAGGGACTTCGCCACCTGCTTAGGAGCTAAGGTTGCGTTAACATCTGGGTTTCATCCCCAGTCTAACAAACAATGCGAGACACTAAATCAGGAGGTGGAAGCTATGCTCCGTTGTCTATGTTCCTCTAGTCCTTCCAGTTGGAGTACCCACCTTCCATGGATTGAATGCGTCCATAACGCCCATGTCTCCTCCGCCACCGGACTATCCCCCTTCGAGGCCTCGACAGGTATTCAACCCAGTTTGTTCCCCTCTGTGTTTCCTCCATCCCTCGGTTCCTAAAGGGGGTCAGACGGGTTTGGGCAGCCACGCAACAGGCTCTCCAGAGGACTGCAGAACGCAACCGGCGTCTGGCCGACCGGCACCAGCGTCCTGCCCCAGACTATGCGCCTGGACAGCGCGTCTGGCTCTCTACCAGTGACATCAGATTAAAGGACCACTGCAGGAAGCTTTCCCCCACATTCATCGGTCCCTACACAATCTCTGCTGTCATCAACCCGTCCTCCGTCCGCTTGGATCTGCCATCCCACATGAAAATACACCCAGTTTTTCATGTCTCCCTCCTTAAGCCTGTCATCTCCAGCTCCCTGTGCCCTCCTACCGACCCTCCGCCTCCTGTGCGACTCGCTGACGGGGGTCTCGGTTACCGTGTCCGGTGCCTTCTGGATATGCGACGTTGTGGCCGGGGCTTCCAGTACCTGGTCGAGTGGGAGGGTTACGGCCCAGAACATCGGCAGTGGATCCTGAGGTCGTGGATCGACGACCCCTCCCTCATCCGGGATTTTGAGATGGCTCGCTCCTCCTCCTCCTCCTCCTCCTCTGCTCTGCCGCCAGGTGGCGTCCCTTGGGGGGGGGGGGGGGGGGGTACTGTCACGGTCTGAGGTGTATTCCTGCTGTCACTCCCTGTTTCTTGAGTTTTCCCTCTGCAGGTGGGCGTGTCTGGAGGTTAACCAAGCTGCAGCAGATCTGCTCATCAGCCGGCCAGGTGTATTTAAGCAGCTGAGAGACTTCTACACTTCGCTGGATGATTACTCTACCTGGGTACCTTCTAAGCCACCTCTTAGAACTATATTCGAGCCTTCTTGGACCTTTTGAGATTTTTAGATGTGTTTTGGATTTTTGCATTTACCCTTCCTGCTCTCGTTCACCAGATAAAACCTCCACCTTCATCTCTGACTGGCTGAACTCTGGAACTCCTATCATCTGGATCTCCAACCTGCTTGTCTCAGCCGCTCCCTGGCCAGAACCACCTCCAGCTGCCCACCTAAGCTCCCTGGATCTCCACAAACTCAGCTCCCTCCACGTCTCACCTTTTGGATCTCAGTCCCAGGAAAACCCTCTCAGCTCAGACCGGACCACTCTTCCCTCGAGTTAGTTCCCTCCTCTCCAGACTGTAAGTCCTCCGCACAATTCAGATTTCTTATTCCCTCCTCGAGTTGGATCTAACTCCCATCTGTCCACAGATTTCCCGCACCGACTCCCTGCTGGAAGAACTCAGCTTTGTTTATGCTGCTTCCTTGGTTTCCCTTTTAATAAATTCTTATTTAAACACTTTACCCCCATCTCTATGCTGATTCTGTATGTCGTGGGTTAGATTTCTACACCACACCATGACAGCTGCCAGCCACATTTTTTTGTATTTGTGATCTTGTGCCTGGTGTTGTGTTTTTCCGTTTGTTTGTTTTTTAAAAGTTGTCAGTTCTTAGTGTTCTTGCAAGTGCTTGAAAGACATTATTATAATTAACATGGTGTTCTCAGTTTATAAACTTTTTAAAATCTTGGTTAGATCACAACAGTGTTTATTTTTATGAGACAAGCTAGTGAGATCATATGTGAGCACATACTCTCCATGTAGGTCTAGCCTGGGGCACGCAGAAGACAGATCCGCTGCGCCACGTCACGCCTGTGCCGTCATTTTAAAAAGAAGCCATTATAGTTACTGGGAGTGGCTACATGGGGAGCACAACACCACATCCCAGAAACGCCGGTCCACACCATGACGCTGAAGATAGGCGCCAGTTCTATTTCAAGTGCCGTGATGTGGCTGTTTACAACAGACATTAGGACGCAGAATGGCTTTACGGCACAAACCCAACGGCCAAAGCACGGACAAGGAGCTTTTTATTGTTAAAGTCGAGAAGCAGAAGATCTTGTACGATCCTAGTACTACTGCTATTGATCTTAAAATATTCTCGTAAATAAATGGCCTGTATTTGATATAGCGCCTTCTGGAGTCCTGGAACCCCCCAAGGCGCTTTACAACACAATCAGTCATTCACACATTCACACCCTGGTTGGCGATGAGCTACGATGTAGCCACAGCTAGCCTGGGGCGCACTGACAGAGGCGAGGCTGCCGAGCACTGGCGCCACCGGTCCCTCCGACCAACACCAGCAGGCAAGGTGGGTTAAGTGTCTTGCCCAAGGACACAACGACAGCGTCAGACTGAGTGGGGCTCGAACCTGCAACCTTCCGATTACGGGGCGAGCTCTTAACTCCTGTGCCACCGTTGCCCATAGCCCATTGTGACTATCGTGCGACTTTCCAAGAAGCGCTCAGCGGCGCAGCGATGCCTGTGAGACCCCAAAACGGCAGCGCTTTCGTGGCACAATGCATCTGTCTTCTGTGTACCCCAGGCTTAAATCACGAATGTGCTTGAATTTTAATTTGACACAGATGGAAAAAATTCAACAAAAATTCAAGTTAAGGCTGATGTCCAATCTTGGTCCTTGCGGGCTGCTATTCCTCGTATTTTAGGGGTTTCCCTGCTCCAACACCAGAGTTAGTTATTGCGTAACATTTTCAGGATGTCATCAAGCTCCAGAAGTATGTTATTCACCCATTCACTCAGCTCATGCGTAAGCAGCAGAGAAACATTTATATTAAACAGGAAAGAGACCCAGATTTGTTCTCCACCAGTTAAGACAATCACATTTTTACAATCCAACCATGTATTAGTCAAAATATATGTACTGAATATCATTGTTTATTGTGATTTAGCTGCACAAAGCCTAAATGCAGCTTGCACACTTGGCTGGAGTTATCTAACCATGCTTAATACACAATACATACATTGTTGGATAACGCTCCTCTGAAGCTAGGGGTCAGCAGGGTTAAGTAGGGTCTGCACACACACACACACACACACACACACACACACACACACACACACACACACACACACACACACACACACACACACACACACACAGAGAGAGAGAAAGAGAGGGAGAATTATTAATAATCAGGACAAAATGCTGTTGCAGTGTTTTCAAATATGTCTCAAAGATCAACCAGTTTTAATTTCAGCCTGTGACAGCGATGAGTCCTTTGAATTCCTAAATCAACACTTGGTTGCTCCGGACGGGAACAATGACTTGCTGTTTTCTCTTACGGAACACATTAGCTGAATGGTGGGAAACAAGCCACACCTAGGTAGACAAAGGATTGCTAAGGTCTGTGCATCACTTAACTGCTGTTGTAAATAAACCAAATGCTACTCATTTATTAACAGAAGAGCCTTTAATTGTTTTGTGCATTAGGAGCAGTTTAAATATAGTAGTGTGTAAAAGGCACTAAAGAAGAGGTCAAATAATGTTTTAATTATTTTCCTGCACTTTGGTGGACTTCAGGTGCAGAAGCTGCAGTATTGCAAACATTTAACATAAAATTCCTTCTCTGGCTATTTTGATTAATGTTTCTTATGAATATAGTCGAGTTGTGCATATTAGGTACACTGTGCTTTTAAGCATTTTTGAAAAATGAGATAGTTAAAGTAAAAATGATAAACTTTCACGATGAAACCAAAATGTTTTCTTTTATAGTACTTCCCTTGACTTATTGTTGTTAAAACATTCAACGCCGGCTTTAGTACCTTTCACTTAGGGGTGTATCGTATTTCTTCCGTCCTTTTATTTCTTTTGTCTTCTTCAACTCTAAGTTTCGGTCACTATGATCCTTTCTGCAGAATACAAGGAATGGATACGCGCTGATATAAATTCAGAGGAATGTCCGTTTTCCCTTCACTTTTAGTGGCTCCATTTGTGTTAATCACCTCCAATGAAAAGGTCGTCCACTCCTCTCTAGTCTCCACTGCCACAACTATGCCTGTATATCAGCGCGCCGGTCAAGGCTCGGGCTTTACAAAGGCTGTCTGCGTGGTGGGTTGTGTGACTTAATGTTTGGTACCAGGCTCCACCATGGTGCAAGCCTAAGGGGTGGAGGTTACCGCTTACTGTGTCGAGCATGCTAACAGAAAGAGTTCATGTGGTTGAGCAGACTTAAGGAGGGAGCCCGTAAATGCAGATGATGAAACGTAACTTGTGGAGGCTGTGTTTGCTTTTCACATTGCTTTTGATACAGAAAAAGGAGCAGTGCTCCAGCAAATATGCATTTCCTGTTATGCAGAGATGTAAAATTCAAATGTTTTATTCTGTCTTCTATTATCGTTAGCAAGACTTTGTAACTCCCCACAAAGCAAAGTACAATGGGGAAACATCAAGGAATGTCGAAATATGGGATGTAAACATCACTGGTAGGAAATATGTTCCTTATGATAACAAACGTGTTTGAGCTAAAAAAAAAAAGGCCAGGATACACAAATAACAGACAATGGACATTTGTATTCCTATTCACCTGTAATAGTGTTGGTTTAATGCAGATATATTTTGACAGAAAGCTGTATGATTCTTTTCAAGCTTGTATTTTTGTACACGTTCATTTACACGTCACCAAAACCAAATAGAAGAAATTCAGGAATCTGAGTATCTGAAGCATGGGACCAGGCATGTCGTTACAGGAATATGATCATGTTACAATTATTTTATGAGTTATTTTTTTACTAAATGCTGCTGCTGAGCTTTGTTGATACATGAAGGTGTAGCCTCAGGCAGCTTTGAGAGCTTGGGTGTGGACGGCATCATTTGTACAGTTGGTGCAAATGAAAACTCCATTATAGCACAATTTAAATGGAAGGATGTGCAAGTCTGTTTGCACAGTACGAGTGATGTTTGCTGTTTTTTTTTTATCAGTGGAAAGATATTCATCATTAGTTCTGATAAAGTTCACAATAACCCACTGGAACTGGCAAAAAACGATCAGCGGGTTTTTTTTTTCTTTTTTTCAATGTGAGAATAATCCAGAGTTGATATGACTGGGCGTGTGAGATTGCTGACCCTAGATTGTTCCTGGAAAAGCAATCTGAAGTAAATCCTCAGACGGCTTGAACAAGTCGACTGTGCACAATGCATAAAACATTCATTCAGTTTCTTTCCCAAACATATGAATAGCCATCTTTGTCCAGCTGCAGAGACAGTTTTCTTTTATAACTGCAAAACAAAAGAATTTTAGAGGTAGCACAAAAAGTGTTTAAATGTGTGCAAAAATCTAGTTTATAGAAGTTTTGACCCTGCAGATAAAAGCTCTTGGGAATATCGTGTAAAACAGAGATGCAAGTAGGCCTTCAAACATACTCTGTAGAGAAATGAGAGACATCACAGTTGCTCTGCTGACCATTAAAGAGACCATTACAAAGGTTGAACTGTTTTACCCCTCTGCACCCTCCCAACACCCCCTTCCTTTTGGCGGGAACAATGTTGCTGCATTACTTGACTGTTATCCTTCCCCCCTGATGATTTTCTTTAGCGTTTTTTACCCCTCTTGTTTGAACAGATGCCGCCCCCCTGCTATAACCTCCATCCTCTGAGACTGCCATAAGGTCTAGTACAATGAGGTAACTCTCAATTATATTAATGCTGAGAGTCCAGCCCAGTCATTTCCTTCCAGTAAGCAACATCAAATACTATGATGTATATCACTTCCTGAGGTAAACTTGTAGTCTTTTGTTCCACTTTATTTATGAATGGATTATGAAAGAGGAGCCGTATGACCGTGTTCACCTTTCAGTTTGTCCATTTCTGCCCATGCAGCTTTTTATAGTGGAATGGACACTGAGCAAACCAACAACGGAGGGGAAATCACTGACAACTTTCATGCAGGCGATGTGGATTTACACAAAATAGGTGGAAATCAGATAGATGAATCTGTGAGCTTAGGGACAGCTTTATCTTGTTTTGTTTTTGTCTAGTTGAATATCTGTGCCGGCATCTTATCCATTTGAATTCTGGGTAGAAGTCCATCTTAAGTGATTAACAGACGGTGATTTCTGTAAACAAGGACGGTGGTGGTTCTTAGCTCGAGGTGTCTTGTTTCAGTCCAGTTAAATGCTTTAGGTGCCTCAGATTCCCGGAGCTATGCCCTTTGACCTTTGCTAACTTTAACACATCAGTGCATTTTAGATGACCTTTCACAGAACTGTTAGCTTCACTTTCGAAAGAACTGACGGGCTCGGCCGGCTTGGGGGTGGGAGGCTACGGGCGGGCCTGTGGGCTTGCTGCTGTTATCTCCCGGGACTCTGCCGGCTGCTGGTTGTGGCCCCCCGGGGCGATCCTCTGCACCTCTTGAGAGGGGGCTGGGGCTTCTCTGGTTACAGTCTCCCTGGGGTCCCTGCGCTCTGGGGCAGCTCCTGGATCTCTGGGGCTTGGAGCTCCCTCCTTCTCCTACACATCTTTGGGGGAAGATCTGTGGCCCCTCACACTCTCTATTGGACGCTCCTATAGAGAAACCTTACATAAACAAGCGCGTGTACGCACACAGGTGCTCACGTGGTGCTCTCATAAGTATGGACTTGGGCATTTTCAACATGTCTTAAGGCTGTGGTTGGCACTAAATGCACTGTGATTTATTATCGTGTGATTGTTCAGTGAGGAAGACATATGCTCCTCCACCATCTATTCCCTTAGCCCTCAGCAGCAATGACTTCATGGGATTTTTTACAAATAAAATTAATTCTATTAGAAACAAAATCTTTAGCATCCTCCCTAATGTGATTTCTTCTTCCTCAGTAAGTGAGGCAGCATCAGAGGTGACTGTAGAACCTCATCTGTGTTTGAACCGTTTTGATCCAGTTGAGCTTTCAGAGTTATCAAAAATATTAGCTTCATCTAACCCTTCAACTTGCATTTTGGATCCAATCCCAACCAAATTATTTAAATAAGCATTTCCTTTGGTTACTGCCCCCATTCTAGATATAATCAATCTATCCTTAGTAAATGGATACGTACCACAGGATTTTAAGGTTGCTGTAATCAAACCTTCACTTAAGAAGCTTGCTCTGGATCCATATGACCCAATGAATTATAGACCAATATCTAACCTTCCATTTTTATCCAAAGTCCTGGAGAAAATAGTGGCCATCCAAGTATGTCATCATTTAAACACTAATGCTCTGTTTGAGGAATTTCAGTCTGGTTTTAGAGAGTATCACAGCACTGAAACTGCATTAGTGAGAGTTACAAATGATATTCTCATGGCCTCAGATAAGAATCTTGTGTCTGTTCTAGTCTTGTTAGATCTCAGTGCTGCCTTTGACACAGTTGATCACAATGTTCTTTTAGAAAGACTTGAACATGTTGTAGGGATCAAAGGAGCAGCGTTAGGCTGGTTTAAATCCTACCTGTCTGACAGATTTCATTTTGTAAATGTACATGACAAATCTTCTTCATACTCCAGGGTTACTTGTGGAGTACCACAGGGTTCAGTGCTTGGACCAATTCTTTTTACTAAATATATGCTCCCAATTGGTAAAATCATTAGACAGCATGGGATAAACTTCCACCGTTATGCTGACGATACTCAGTTATATCTATCCATTAACCCTGATGAACCTAATCGGTTGGGTAGATTACAGGCTTGTCTTGAGGACATAAAAAATTGGATGACTCTAAACTTTTTGCTTTTAAATCAAGACAAGACGGAAGTTCTCATATTTGGACCAGAAATCCAGAAAAGGAAATTGCTTAGCCAATCGCCTGACCTGAATGGCATTACATTAATCTCAGAGAACAAAGTAAGGAACCTTGGTGTTATCTTTGACCAGGACATGTCATTCAAATCCCAGGTTAAAAAGGTTTGCAGGTTTCCTTTTTCCACCTTTGGAATATTGCTAAGATTAGAAGCATCCTTTCCAGGAGTGATGCTGAAAAACTAGTTCATGCATTTATTACATCAAGACTGGATTACTGTGTCACGTTTTGGGGATGTTTAGGACCCAAATATGCAGCAACC